ACAAAGTTATAGCCCTTTGGAAGTTTGAGTACCGCCCTGTCTCAATAATAATATCATGTGCTCGTGTTTGGCAACAACGGATATAATCCGCCTTATCGGTTCATCGCTTCGGAAACAAAAAAGCGAAAGAATTTGGAACGATGTTTTTACAATTACTTTATTCAGTTCAGTTATACATACAGTCAGTGTCAGTCGAAGGGTTTATCTCTGGTCAGTCGGTAACGCGTATGAATAGTGTCTGTTGCGTGGCTCAAACGAAATAAAAAATGGCACATGTTTATGCGGATCGGTTTCCCAATCGAGTGCAACCAACCCCTCGTGCCTTTGTTAATGTAGTACAACGGGCTCGTGAATCAGGTGACTTAAGACCTCACAGGGGACCTCACGATCAAATACAGGTCCGCACTGAAATACTTGTCGGGAGGATACTTTATAAAACAAGGTAAAAGTTTTTTTTTATTTTTTTTTTATTTTTACACACATATTTTGGTTTATCTTCCTTCTACAATCATTATCTGAAAATTAATGACTCAACTTCAAAGTCACCCTGTATATATATATATATATATTATAAAGTCAGTGGGATACATTTTTTGTGAATATTCTTCATGAGACTGTCCCCCGAAGCGCCACTTGAATTCATAATTATTTTCTAGTTAGTGCTAACTTAGCGTGCTATTGGCATAAGCAACACTGCAAAAGTTCAACAAAAGCGGCATAATCATCTTTGAGAAGTTAATAAAAAACCAAAATATAGGAGACAGGTCCATATGAACTTTTCTACTTAAATTTGGATCAGAAATGCGCCAGTGTAATTACGGCCTATCATTAAGTAACATGCTGTATATTGTTGTATCTTGGTGCGAAAATTACCTTGCTAGACGTGAATCGTCGGCCATGACGAAATGCTGTAATTCTCTTCCAGGATGAGGTTTTAATGAGTATGCCGTTCTTGGAGAATACCACACTTTAGCAGGAAAGGCTTAATGAAAGACAGAGACATAAATCGTGGAGTTGAGCGGCAGTTGCTGTTGCAATCAGAAAAATCATATACATATGTCCTTATCCGATTGTGCATGGTTTTTGAGTTATCGCCAGTTTTAAGAGATTACGGAAAATCGCTACTTTTGAGAGTGTACTATTTTTTTCTGAATTTATCGGGATATGTTTTCAAATGATGTGTCGCTGGAAAAAGGTATGAGTGAAAATTTAGTCTAGTTAATATAGGTGCAGCAATGGGCTAATCTGCAATTTTGTCTGTTGTCAAAAAGATTACAGCATATTCAACGAGGCCTGAACAATGAAATTAGCAGGCAGATAAAGAGTTCATAGTAATGAAAAACTTCTCAATACTGTGGCATATCAAAATATCTATTAGATAATCAAATGCCCTAAATACTTTCTGCGCAAAGTAGACTAAATGCTGCAGGTACCCTAAATCCGAAAATTCCCATTTTTTAACCTTAACCCTTTAACTTTCCATTGTTGATCTTCTTTCTTCCAAATAGGATGAGCAAACACTTATGTGGCAATAGATTTTCAAACCTGAATGAATTCTATGTCCAACCATTCCAAGGCCTTGACATTATTTTGGGTGTTAAAAGCGTTACTGAAACAGTGCAGCATTACCTAATCCTGTAAGCCCAATTACCAGGCTCATGTTATTCAAATAAAAGATAGACAATACTTGAAAGTGATTATTAGAACCCATGATTGTGATGTTTCAGTTTTATTGCCTCTATATCCTAGGGGTCATTCTTTTTTCTCCCAGAAAATATGTTCTGCGCCCTTCTTTGTGTCCATATTAGGCGGTATTTATAGGAGATATTCGAAGTGTCTTCCTTCTGTTCTAATGCAAGCTCTGTATAGTCGTAGAAAATTTTTGTCAACCCGTTGATAAACTGTGTAGGCTGTTACTCACAGTAGCAATACATGCGAGACTGTATTCTTTTTAGGTAGTCTTCAGGAAGAAGGGCCTGCACACCTTGAATGTGAAGCAGGTCCAGCCGCTTTCTGTGTTGAATTCGGAGTACTGTCGATCTCGCTACACCAGCTATCAAGTAGGTTCCTGTTTTTAGTAATATATTGGTCAGGTAATAGCTATATCCATAACCCTTCTATTACCCAAAATCATGTCATGGCCGCCCTCCTGTACATTGATAAGACGTGGCATTCCTTTGAGTTTGAGGATTTGTTGTCCCTCAATTGTCTCTCCTTCATATTCAGAAGCCGAAAGATCAACAACGGCAGTTAAGGGCTCGCGCAGACAGAAAGAGTTCCGTTCCGCGTTCACGTTTTTTGTAACTAATAGATCTCTATAGATGGCATCCATAGGAAAATTAATTGATTCAGTAAGGGAAAGGAGTTTTTTATATGATCTTAGTAACGCAGACTATAAAAATACATTAAAAAAATGCAGTATGGCTTGAAATAGCCACGGAAATGGGAAAATGCCAACCTTTATCTTATAGATATAGCCTCTCTCCAGTTGGCGTCTTTTTTCTCTATTTCCTTTTTCATAAAATCATGCAATTCATTGAAACTACTTAATGACATTCGGAAGTAAATCAAAAATCGTTCTTCATCTTCTCTCCTTTTTTATCTTTCTCACAATTAATCGGATGCATCCAGTATCTTTTTTTCTTATTAGACTCTTCGAAAATCCACAAAAGCAAAGCTTGACCTTCTGAAGATGGACTATCGAAATACATGTTTCACCTATAAGTAATTTTCGGACGTTCTGTCTGTGTTAGAACTCGTAAGAGGAATTGACCTGACGAACGCGGCTTAAAGGGTTAAGTTTAAAAAATATGAATTTCCAAACTATTTACGATATTTGATTATCTATTAGGTATTTTGAAAACCCATAGTATCGAGAAGTTTTTTATAACTATGAACACTTTATCCGCCTAGTAATTTTTGTACAGGCCTTGTTAAATATGCTGTAATCTTGTTAAAATTGCAAATTAGCAGATTGCTGTACCTACATGAACTGGAATAAATTTTCACTCACAGCTTTTTTTCAGCGACACATTGAAAAATAACAAAAGACAATTTCAGAAAAAAAATAGTACTGTCTCTGCGATTTTCCAAAAAATTTTACATATGGCGATAACTCAAAAACCGTGCACAATCGGATAAGAACATATAGTATATGGTTTTTCTTATTGCAAATGGCCTCCCCTATCACCTCCTTTCGTTTGCTTCATGACTTTTTGAACACACTGTAAAGACGTCGCTAACATCAACTTTGCCCCCTTCATTTCCCAGTAAAAAGAAGATGCTAAATTGAATGAGCTGACTTTGTTTTCGAACGGCGACAAAAACGCCTCAACACCTTTTTTTTATACTCCAACCAGCACGAAGGCCTAAACACCCGTGGGGTATCATGGGGCTATAGGGGGATACAGGGGAAAGGGGGAACGCCACACGGACTCTGGCGAGCGAACACGTGTGCATGCAACATGCACACATTCTGGCCCCGCCTACGAGATCCGCCGGGTGGTACCTCTGCGTTCGACAGTCAGAGACCGTCTACCACCTACGGACAATCACAACATCCATAGCCAAGAGAAAAATTTCTCTTGGGATGGGATTCGAACCCGCACAGCGCACGGTGACTGATCAGGAGTCTACTACTGCGGTCACCGCTGCTGCCGTAATTATCAAATATCGTGGAAATCGCATGTATTATACAGTTCACTACAACTTGTACTTCTTCAATAAATTATCTACCAAGGTTGGAAATATATGCAGGATGATTGTTTCCAAAGTGAAGGTCATATAAACGTATGTCCTAAATGTGATAACTTTACGATACAGGGTAGTAAAATTTTCCAAAATAAACCATTTGGCACGCCACTGAATGTTTTTAGAATGAAAAAATGAAACTAGTATTCATTTATGAGCAGAGTTGACCTCTTGATTTTTTTTAGTGCGACTCAATTAAAAAAATATTTCTACGCATGGTGATATTGTCATATTAACGATATTGTTATGATCATGCAGAGAAACGCTTGCATTTTATTTTTTTAAGCGAAAACCGTGCATCGGATTGAAAAAATCAAGCAATCAAATTAGCTTAGAAACGATTGATCATTTCCAGAATAATTTTTATGTTAAAAGAAGGTAGTGACGTACCATCACTGTCTACCAAAATAGGCAGGAGAAATTCCGTACGAAGACCACTGGTGGAACTAAAAAATATGATACATGCCTCTTGGTACATAGTAAATGTATGCCAAATTTCAATACAATACCCAAAGTGTTATTACAGATCTTATAATAAGAAATTATTTGATTTTGAAAACTTCACCATCCTGAATCTGAAAAGTTAACACGTTTAGGACATATGTCTACGTTCATATATGAAGTTTTCTTCTTGAACTGAACATAAAACTCGTCCGCTTCAATATTGACATTCAATGCACCCTGTAAGCTACTACAAAACACTGAATAAAAAAAAATAAAAAATAAAATTGAAGTTGGACAAACAATTTTAATAATACTAGTGAATGTTTTGAATGTATTCTAAAAGTCTGTAAAAACCAACGAATTCAGACTAGATGCAAGGAGCCAGTCAAGGATTTGTTTGTCACCTAATTCTTATAGTCTGTGGTGAGAATCAAACTGCACTTGACATAAGTAAATTTTTTGACCGTTCTGTCATTAAATTCGTATATTTAGAGTTATTTTTTGAAAGTGCAAGTGTTTGCAGATAATCATGGTGTTAGACGATTTCAAGCTGTGGTACTTCTTCCAAATGTGTCAAAAATATGCACTAAAACTACGCAATTTTGGCGACAAATAATGCAGTGAAAGCTCGCTATAGCCCAATACGTTTTACTTGATATGACACAGCATGTTATACGGACATTTTTGCTTTGATATTTACACAGTATATAAAAGTTTCTGACTGTTTTGTGGTTTCTGCTTGTTATAAAAAATATATATTATAGTGAGTATACATACATTTATATTTAACGTTTATTTCTCCGCAGATCTTTTATGCGACCATGAATTTTGATAAGGTGTATGCAGAAAGCAGAAAAAACTAAGGAATAATCTACATATAGATAGATATGAAGGAATTTCTCAACATTTTGGCTTTTTACATAATAGGTAATATTTTCTGATGTGGAATACTGTCAAAGTCAAAAATAAACAAAATAGTAACAATAAGTTAATGTAGGCGCTGGAAGCGTGCAGATCCAAAGAAGACATCATCAAGATGACATGCTTTATCTATCCTATGAAAATGCAACGGTTCGGCAAGGAAAGACCTTGGCTATTTCTTGCAGAGATAGATCTGGTCAGACAGTATTTTGGCAGGGGCCTAGAGGCCCTCTGGGACCTTACACCAGGCCTAGAGTTATGGACTCGTCGATAGGTACGCAAGTTTAGACTTAAAGTCTCAAATCACATTTGTTTTTTATTGTATATTGAATAATTTAAATCTAAGGTCAGCGTGACAGCTATTAACATAACAGTACCTTGTATTTGTTGTGTTAGACCAATAGTTTTATGTGATTTTTAAAATATCCTTTTTCCAGGAAAATTACTTATTTTCAATAATACCAAAATGGATGAAATGGGGAACTATACGTGTAGCAGCATAGGACGGAGGAATAGAAAAGTGTTTACTCTCACTGTGGAAGGTAGGAAAACTCCATTATGAGTTATCAGGGCTGAGGTATTCCTAAGTGCCGATGTGAGCTACTGTGTGGAATGACACCTCTTTTTATTGGAATGTCTCAGAAGGAGGGTAATGTTTGTCACGCGTGGGAAAGGGCGGGTCATGAGGGACGGTTAGTATTACATTGATATAGATGCAGGTAGCATTACAGTGATGTAAATGCAACAGTCATCACAAACAATTAGCAATATATGGCGTTTATGGCTAGTCCGTCTCTGGCTAACTAAATGAGCTAATAGTTTTCGTTGGATTCTCTCGTCGCCTCAGCTCTAACATAGCGTAGCTCAAAACTGACAATTTTTAAAAGAACAAAAAAAAACCGATGGATTTTTGGACACGCATGTCTTGATGGCGCTATTTTTTAGTTACGTGATGTTAAAACTTACGCGACGATATGTGAAATTTATTTAAGAAAAACTTATTTCCAACGACTTCTTCTTCAGGGGCCTATTTCTCCTAAATCAAGAGGTGTTTTGCAAATCGAGAGGATCAAATATAATAGTTTTAGAATAGTCCCAAGAGTCACCCATTGAATTCTTGTCCCATGGTAAACTAAGAAAATACCATCATGTAAAGTTACAAATAAAAAGTGTCAAAGATATGACGTAGTATATATGCTAATGTTTAACTCTTACGGTTAGATAAATCAATATGATGCTTACTACTTATTATCTACCTTCAATCAAATGAAACCGCTTTTCTCTAACTTTGTTCGTCAAAAGGTATTTTTATCTAATTCGCACAGCGTTAAAGGCCCGCGCGAAAAGGTTTTTTTAATTACCTTAATCACAGAACACATTTTCAATAATGCACCAACGGACATGTAGTGCTACCAAGCCGAAAAATGCAGTCACCATTTTATTTATATTTGCGTCAATCTGAACGTGTAGGCAACCAGACTTGCTCAACCCTCTTATTTCCATGCCATCATCGATGCACTGATAAGCTGATCAGGCTTTCCAGGGTTTGAAGGTGTGATGATTTTTCACCAAATCTGGTGATTTTTTACCCGTTTGTATCCAATTCATATTTGCAAAAATGATCCCCACGACCCCCAGGATCCGCGCTTGCGCGTGGGTTTGTGTATATCCAAAAATTTCTATTTAAGGGCTACAGGACAAACGGCTTCATGGCTTTTCAATTATGAGGTGTTTTTGGATTCGTCTTAGCAGTGCGAGTAAAACTAGCTATACTAAAGTATTATAAAAACAAAATGACAGATTTTAATCAAAACATTCGTCGTTGAAAGTCCTATTTTTATGGCTATAGCTTGAACGGCTAGATGGATTTTGACATATGAGATGTTCTCTTGGATTAGTTTTAGCAATGCGAATGACACTGGCTCTATTCAAATTTTATAATGATAAAATGGAAAATTTTAATAAAATAAATCAACGTTGATATTCCTATTTCACGGGCTTTAGACCAAACGGCTTGATCGATTTTGAAATTTGAGATGTTTTTAGATTCGTCCGCATAGCCCAATTAAACATGATTGTATTCTTCCCAGTTAGAGCAGTCCAGCTTTTTGTATTTTTTTTTAAATGTACTTGTTGTTACCTTTATTTCTGTTAGTGGGGTGTGACGGCTCCATAATAATCTAAACGTTAAATTGCTTATATATGTATATATATATATATATACAGGGTGGCGCATCGAAAACGAAACAGACGCATTTACTGGCAGCTCAGTTTTTTTTAAAAACGCTTAGACCCGTGGATTTTGTTTTCGAGGGGGACACAAGTTTGGCAAAAAATCACGTTAACACGTGCAGCCCCCTGGGCGGGGGTGACACCAACCCTAAAATCTTAAATGGAAAGGGGGGTCGAGTGATACCTTATTTTAAAGGTCTTTCAATTCCCTTTATAATGATGTAAAATGCACGAGCTTCAGTACAGTAGTTTTGAAGATTTATTGATTTAAAGCTTAAAGTAGACTTTAATAGGTACATCAGATTAGTTTGTACTACTTTCAGAAGAAATTTGTCTAAAAGAATTTACTTAATAAGTAAATGCTTTTCTTCATTACGCCCCCATGGTTTGTTTATCATTTTGTTGTTGAAAACAGCTATTGGAGCGTTTTTTTGTGGCAAAAAAGTTATTTCTTGAAGAAAGATAAGGAAATATCTCGTACTTATTTTAAATAGGAATTTAGTACATAGTTTGCGATTGATTTGACCAAACTTTGTTGCTAAAATAGCTTGTAACGCTTTATTACATAAATTAACCATGGTATATTCCACGGCAGAAAGAGTTGAAATTATCGAAATATTTTTCGGAAATAATCAGTGCGCTAATAGAACAGCATAAATATTTAATGAGCGACATGAGAACAGTAACGTGCATCGAAAATATGTTCTAGAACTTGTAGCTAAATTTCGGGAAACTGGGTCAGTATCCAATAAAAAACGCAATATTGAAAATCCTATAAGGAACGGCGATCATTTAGTTGGTCCTTTTTTCTTACCTGGAAATTTGACCGGTGAAATGTATTTGGAATTACTGGAAGACGCCATAGATCCTGCATTAACAGCCATAATTGAAAATCAGAATGATCGGCGGTACATTGCGAATAGTTTGATGTTCCAACAGGATGGTGCCCCACTACATTACGCATTACGTGTTCGACAATATTTAGATCAGACGTTTCCAGTTCGATGGATTGTTAGAAGAGGTGCCATTGAATGGCCCCCAAGATCGCCAGATTTATCCACCTTTGGATTTCTTTATGTGGTGTCATTTAAAAAGCAAAATCTATGCTACTCAGCCAACATCATTAGAAGACTTGCGACAAAGAATTGTGAATGAGTGCCTTCAAATTATTCCTCAAATATTGCAAAATGTGCGGCAACGTTTTGAGCAAAATCTTTATTATTGCATGGAGAGTCATGGTGTCCATTTTCAACATTTACTTGCCTAACGGGTCAGTTCATTCTTCATTTTTAAATTACTTTGCTGCCAAATGTATTGATCTCCACTAATGATGATGTATTAGTTTTATTTAAGCTTTAAATCAATAAATCTTCAAAACTACTGAACTGAAGTACATTAATTTTATATCATTATAAAGGGAATTGAAAGACTTTTAAAATAATGTATCACTCGTCCCCCCCTTTCCATTTAAGATTTTGGGGGTGGTGTCACCCCGCTTAGGGGACTGCACATGCTAACGTGATTTTTTGCCAAACTTGTGTTCCCCTCGAAAACAAAATCTGAGCATTTAAAAAAAACTGAGCTGACAGTAAATGCGTCTGTTTCGTTTTCGATGAGCCACCCTGTACTGATAGGTGCACACAACAATTTTTAATCTATTTTGTAAAGTAATTTTCGTGTCTATTAATTCGCAAAGAATGACTCCTGTTTTACTTTTGTTGAAGATGGTGACCTGTCATATGAGGGTCTTGGAGAACATACTTTCATGAATCAGAAAATGAAGGTATATAGGAGTGATGAGGAAATATATCTAGAAAGTGGGGCTGTAGTGAACTTAACTTGTGAAGTGCCTATAGGATCGGCAAGGTTTCAATGGTACATCACAGATATGAACAACCGGACCCATAGGATAGAGAATTTTGTCACTCTTAGCGACAGGCAGTCAATTTTAGAGGTAACAACATCTGCTGGTATTTCTTATTATATACAGGGGAAATGGGGGAACGTTACACGGACTGTAGCAAGGGAACACGAGTACATGTGACATGCACACATTCTGGTCCCGCTTAAGAGATCCGCTTGGTGGTACCTCCAAGTTCGACTACCAAGGCCGGATTCAGGATTTCGTGCAGGGGGGGGGGGCGCAAACGATAGTTGGGGCTGGTCATTTTTTAACCTCAGTGGAACTTCTAGAATTTATCCTATTGTTGCTCCTTAAATCCATTGTTCTATCTGGTCAAGCTTGAAAAAAAAACAGGGAAAAGGCTCAGTAATCCTCAGAAAACCAATATTATTTTATATGAGAACAAAATAAGTACGTGACATTTATAATTAACTACTGTAATAATATTAAAGATTCAAACATAAAAAACTCAATTGCTCTGTTAACCGAAAATAAATAAATAAAACATTCTGAGGGACCCCGAGACATATCCCAGTCCATTCCACACAAAACAATGTCTTTGATTGCGAAAACGAACATGAAACCAAAAAAAAAACACATTATCGTATAGACGCTAGACAAGATGTCTATAGACCATCTATAGATCGTGACTTGAGAGTCTCCAGACTGCCTATAGACAAATTGCGCAACGGGGTCTACTAGTATGTAGGAACTAAGCTTAAGGATCAAGTCTCTGAACTGCCCATTAAACAAATCAAGTAGATGGTGCAAATACTGACACAATTAAGCACTTTAATTATATCAGCAGGTGATAAAAATATCAATAGGTATAGCCAATTATTATTTTTTTTATACCGAAGCAGCCGCGCAGGCAGAAGCCTAAATGCCGGAACACCACGGCTGATATGATGAACCCAAAGAATTTTGTTAAATCGAGGTTAGTAGAACTGGGAAAAGCTCCCTCTTGTAGATTTTTCCACAATCTCGACACCCTCGGGACAAAGGAGCGGTCGTATCAGCCAGTTCTGGATGTCCGAAGTTCGACACGGTTAGGATGGGAGGTATCATAGAATAGAGCTCTGAGGAGCAAAGTCCGCTCGTGTAGAGGTAGAAGAGAGCTAGATCGCCGGTGTGAGAGGGTCCCGAGACTGTCTGTTAGAGAAGAGTCATCGATCAGCCGGATAGCCCTCCTCTGGTAAGCATCGAGCATAAATGATGTAGTCGGGATGGCAGCACCCCAAAAATGTGAGCAGTACTAGCAAGGCTAGGCCTTATCTGGGCCTTGTATATTGTGAGAATGTCATGCGGAGAAAAGTACTTCTTAGTCCTAAACAAATAGCCTAACTTTTTCCCAGCAACTGCCGCTATTGACGAAATGAGTTCTTGCCAGATCAGGTCCTCGGTGATCTGGACTCCGACCTGTCGAAATGAAAATGGCTCTTTTTCAGAACTCGGCCATCCATCGAAACTAGATGAGCTTTAGGACGCTTTTTGTTCGTCAAAGTACCGTACTGTGTTTTGGAAGCATTAAACTCTACAAGATTGTTGTGTCCCCAATCAGTGATAACCTCCAGGTCTCTCGTCGTCAGAGAGGAAGTCGTCGCTAGTTTTTTTTTTCCAGCTCAGCGGTGGATTTCGCAGCAAAGATCTTGGCAAGCACTTCCGCCTAGACCTTTGAGTTCGATACAATTGTTCCATCCTGACAGGTATGTGGTGGAAGGCTACTGTGTGAAAAGTTATTTCCAATCTGCTTGGCCAGCGTCCAGAAAGACCGACTGCCATTGCGCTGTGACATTATCCTGTGCCTAACTCTTATAGTGTGCTGGTTTTTGGCATTGCGATCCGCTTCGTTATATTTGTTTCTGGACTTGACGTCGGCTTGTGTGTTCTCTACAGTGGGGTTTTGTAAGAAGGTTCTGTGTGCCTTGATCATCTGATGGCGAGCAGTGGCACACGATTTGTTAAACCAGAAGTTGGACCCTGGTTTAGGCACTTTCACTATATGAGGGATGTCCATTCCGACGTGGATAATTTCGGTTATCGAAGAACAGACAGCCGATGCCTCCGCGTCGGTGAAGCAGTCACTTTTCTAAGGACAGGTATAGAAGAAATCTCTGAGCCCCTCCCAGTCGGCATGTCAATGCCAAATTTTGCGGCCTGTGCGGGTTTCAGCTGCCACAGCGGGTTCTGACCGAAACCTGACCTCCGCAACACAGTGGTCTGAGTTACACAGGGGGGACAGCAGTGCTGTAAGGGACAGGATGCGTGGGTCAGCGCTTGAGTAAGAGCGAACGCTTCAACTGCACGACCTGCTGCATCGGTCTCGTTTGAGCCCAACCAAGGCAAATTATAATCATTGAAATCACCGAGGAGAACTACCTCTGAAGCGGGGTGATTGATGTTCAGGAAGTCTATCTTGACGGCGAGGTATTCAAGAAGGTCAACCCAGTTATGGTGCGAGAGAGAGAGAGAGCTAAAAAGACAGCAAATAAATTTGGGGGATGCTTTGGAGTTGAGGCGAAGCCACGGTATGTCCTTCCGGTCAGATGCCAGAGAAACATTTCTGCAGCAGGAAAGACTGCTGCGGACAAAGGCAACAACTCCCCCGTCCTTTCTCAGATTGGAGTGCACCTCGTAATTTGAGAAGCTAAGATTCTGAGATTTTTGTCTCCGCCAACAAAAGCATGGCGGGACGATTGGATTGAAAGTAGTGATGAATAGCATCAATGTTGCTGATAGTCCCGCAGATGTTCGTGAAACAAATTTTATCTTCGATGTTACCTCGAGTCCACCCTCCACCCAGACACTCCGAGAGTGGAGTGAGTTTACGTCCGGAATTCTTAGTACTCGAGGATCCAGCATCATTAATTTCTTTGTTTTGGAACATAACAGACTGCATATCTTAGGTGTGGAAACATGCGGACATTTATAAGACACCCTGGGAAAAGCTAGCGGGTGATGGTACCGTCTCGGTCGACTGGTCTTTTTGCGTGTTAATGATATTGAATAGACCTAAAGTGGCCCGTTGGCGGACTTGTACCGCCACTCGACAATCGGTGCTGTAGGAGTTGGGAATTTGAAATTCAATATAGATGTTACAGTTATTTTTCAGACTTTCGTTGTCAAGCTTAGATTTACGGCACAGTTTGTTGTTTTCTCAGTTTTCGAACCGGTGTTGATCGCATGTAAAAATGTTGGAAATCCTTGGAAAAACTATATCTGTTAGGTAGTAATTATTTTGATAATGTATGTTTGTACGAAACAAATACAGGAATACAGGGCTGTACATATTCACGTATAGTGGAGGAGTTCTGCAATTTAGGCGAATTCAATATAGCAACATAAATAGACACATACGCGAGAAGAGATGCGGGACGTGTGGTATTGACTTTGAGCATCGATCGACGCAGTTTCTGGACAGGCCACAGGCGTACCGCTAAACAAATCTCATAACTGTCTATTTCCAATTTAGGCGTTCATCTAACAGTGCTTCGCTGCAACCCCGAACAAAATCTGTCAAGCTTTACACACTTTTCAAATTACTGTTGAGCAACAAACAGAACATGATTCACTTTTGCGCATAGCTAATATATTACCCAGACTTAGATTTGTCACAAGTCACAATAAATCGTAAGAATTGTGCTGCAAGCAAGTGATGTCAAAGAGGGACAGCATTTGGAATACCAAAGGATACCAAAAAATCGCAATGATCAGTTCCTATAGCTATAACTTATAGTTAGAATGCTTCTGTCGCCATGATGTGTCAGAAAGTACCACAATGGTATTAGACTATAAAAGCAAGTCTCAGACTTTTAGGAGCGGGGTGCCCCCCGTCTAAATCCGCCACTGAGACAAACACAGCATCCATATACAAGAGAAAAATTTTCTAGAGATGGAATTCTAGCTCGCGCAGCTCACGGCGGCCAGATTAGTACTTAGATCTCGACATTTACCACGATGCCACCGCACTTGCCTTTATTTATCCCCTAAATGTTATAGGGTAGTTTTTTTCGAAAAATTGTAAAAAATATGTTTCAGGGAATTCTGGGCACAATTCGCCTTGGTTATAATGAAATATTGCTTGCACAAACAAAATTTGTGTTAAATTATGCAGGTAGATCCCATTATGATTTTATGTAAATATTTTCTCAAAAAAACTTGGGAGCAAAATACAGGGTGGACTAAAAAATTCTGAGGCAGAGTATCTTGTTATTAGACAAAAGCTTGCTTAACAGCTGTTAACAGATCCCTATACGCTACATCAAGAAACTCAATAAAAGTATTCAATACCATACAGAGCATTTAATCGTAAAATGAAGTTCATTTGACACAATCCGACTCGGTTAGTAAAATATTGCGTGCACAATCAAAATATATTTTAAACTATTTAGTTAGATCCCATTACTCATTTCATGTAGATATTTTCCCAAAAAAAAACATGACGGTGGCCTTTTTCAAAATATAAATGGCAATGACAATATATTTTATGTTTATCTAACTTCCGGGTTTTCAGTCCGAATATTGCGCTTTAGGTCTTGAATTGTCCGGGGACTATTCGCATACACTTTTTCTTTCAAAAATCCCCAAAGAAAATAGTCAAGAGGTGTTAAATCGCATATGCGGTCTTGAAATTTCATGTGCAATAAGGCAATTGTTTGGCGAGATGTGTGAGCCGTTGCTCCGTCTTGATGAAACCAAAGATCGTCGGCACTAATACGATCCAATTGTGGCCACAAAAAGTCTGTCAACATGCCGCGATAACGTTCCCCGTTGACGGTAATGGCCTTTTCTTCGGCATCTTCAAAGAACAATGGTCCAACGATGCCATCAGCCCATAATCCGCACCAAACAGTCACTTTTTCAGGATGGAGAGGTTGTTCTTGATATTGGTATGGATTTTCAGCCCCCCAGAATCTGCAATTTTGCTTATTTTCGTACCCATTGAGGTGAAAATGAGCCCCATCAGTACTTTGTCCGAAAATCCGTCTTCTCTTTCCAGCATCCAATTAACAAAAAACACGCCGATCTTGATGGTCTGCCGGCTTCAATTCTTGTGTAAGTCTCTAAGAATTTCAGTAATCAATAATAAATGTATAAAGATCTATGAAATTGTTAATTAGAACGATATTTTACCTGTTCATAAAACAGGGTTTGCCTGATCTGAACAGGGTTTTTTCAAGGGGATGGCTTCCAATTTGCAAAACCGCAACGATGCAACTGACTGGGGGAGAAAGGGGTACTAGTCTATGAATGGGTGCTTGGGGCCTAATATCCCAGAGTCTAGAAAACGACGAAAATACCCCTACACCACGACCTCGACGGAAACTGAAAAGCGAATCACAGAATACGTACTCGTTACGTTCTAGAGGAAAGAATCTTGAGTGGCCTTGAAGAAGATATGTTTTATAGGAAGCCAACTAACGGAGAAAAACTGCAGTTTTTTGCTGATCGTCAACACCATACTGAATCGCTGAGAAAGAAAGATGTAATACGAGTGAAATTACACAATCAATAAACTATTAAATTAGCAGAAAGAAAATCATTGAAAAGGGGTTTGGCCTAGGAATGGGCACTCTATTATCAATGAGGAGAAATTCAAATTACTGATAAGTGTTAAATAGAAAAAAAAGGTTACGTGATTTTGGCACGTGACAAAATATCACCTTCATTATCTATAATAAATCATAAAAGCAAAATATATTTTTCAAAATGCACTGTGTCAACTCGAAGGAACTTCATTTCTTAATGAATAGAGATACCAAAAATCCTATGGACCTAAAGGCGTTTGGTCAAAATTTATAGAAACCGTTTTGATCCTAGTCCTCTATAACATTTTTATATGTTTTTCCGAATTTTTTCAATTTTCTCTACATAGAAATATCTAAAAGAGTTAAAAAAGTGAGCATTTAGGACCTCAAGGATATTAAAACGGTACCTGAAAATCTGAATCAAACCCACCTCATATATTATTCTACTTTATACATAAACAACTCTAGAAATATTGAAAGTAAAGAAATATAAAAATGTTACTGCAAAATTTGAAGGTAAACTTCTAATCAGTTTTTGAAATACTTAGCCAGAAAGCTAGTAGATCCACAATTTTTATAAAATTTGGGCTCTCGGTAGCGAAATTGAGTCCATTTACAGTCAGAATTTGTTGCTACTAGGTGTGTAGTACAGTGTGATACAGGTGTGCATCCGGTTATTGGAGATAAAGTTCATCGCGCCCACCTCAATTTTAATCATGTATAATTTGACTACGTACGTATGTGAAAACTTTGGAAGAAATGAAACTTCCGTGTTCTAATACATTACTGTTTTTTTAATAAAGTTTATGCACCAAAAATATTAAAATAAAAATGATGGAAAATAAGGCAGTTAAAGAAACAAAAAATCCACAGAACCAAACTTGGGCTTAGGCTTGGAAATTTTCTAAAAAGCTTAATCTATACGCATAAGTAGTATAAATTTAAATATATACTTATAAATAAGGTGCATTTTTTATTTTGCAGTCCGACACTCATTTAGGTATTCCTTCGCCAAATAGATATTTATGTGTAAAGATTCTGGTGGTCCTTTTTGAAAAACAGTAACTCCCCGACTCGATAGCTTACCAGATATATTGTTTTGAGCCTATAAAACTATGGTTATTAAAGTGTTGCTAAGAGCTAAGATTTTATTTCATGTATATTTCTGTTGGTCACAACATGTCTTAGCCCTTCCATGTTTTAAAAATGGTGGTAGAGCTTTGTGCCATGGAGTACGCATATATCTACCAATATTAACTAGTAGATTACATACTTAGACGGAGACGCAAACCATTATGTGTCGAATACTTTTATAGGATATACTGTGCGAGATGATGGCCTTTTCAAACGAAATATGTTTTTGTAGATCGAAAAAACCCCAGCCCTTCGAGAGATATACAAATGCATCGCTTGGACTGACCATCAGAAGCTAGTGAAGAGATTCATTCTTCACGTTGGTCATAGATCGGACACCATCGTTACCGTTAGTTTGGTGAATGTTACAAGTGACAGCCTAGGGTTATTGGTAGAAACTGAAGATGAACAAACTATCCCTTTCCATCTATTGGTGCGGTACAGAAAAGTGGATGATGAACACTGGCATAATTTTAAAACCGAGGCGCAGAATGGTAAGGCGGATAGGGTACTCCCCCAAACATTTTAATTTGATAGAATGTCAATATTTTGTCTCCAAAAGGTTGGATAAAATTGGGTAAATTGTACCATTTAGCATATTTTGGGGAATAAATCGTTAACCGCTTTTTTTAATTGAATGATAATTCAAAGTATAGTAATGTTTTTTATCAAAATGGGCAACTTAAAACTTATGTAAGTACCGAGAGTTTAGAATAATATGCTTTTTAAAGAAATGTTGAAAATGGTACAATTTATCGAACCACTTTGGTAAATTTTACCACGCGGGTTGTAAATTGTTTGTTACCAAAAAGCACAGATTTTAAATTTTCATTGTTAATTAAACGATTTCATGTTTAGCCTACTCATACACAGAGACCATAAATTAGGACATACCTAAGTGAGACAAAACATTACCCCAACGGATTAAATTAAAAACTCCATATAAATAAATATAATTATTTAAAAAAAATTAACATAATTAATTTACAATTTGGAGCAAATTGGTAAAACAAAAAAAAACATAACAAATAACTGACAGTATTTGTTCAATTTAAGCGCACAAGTCACAAGTATCACTCATTGTTTGCACCTGACTATACAGGGTGGCGCATCGAAAACGAAACAGACGCATTTACTGGCAGCTCAGTTTTTTTTGGAAAAACGCTGAGACCCGTCGATTTGTTTTCGAGGGGGACACAAGTTTGGCAAAAAATCACGTTAACACGTGCAGCCCTCTGGGCGGGGGTGACACCAGCCCTAAAATCTTAAATGGAAAGGGGGTTCGAGTGATACCTTATTTTAAAGGTCTTTCAATTCCCTTTATAATGATGTAAAATATATGAGCTTCAGTTCAGTAGTTTTGAAGATTTATTGATTTAAAGCTTAAAGTAGACTTTAATAGGTACATTAGATTAGTTTGTACTACTTTCAGAAGAAATTTGACTAAAAGAATTTACTTAATAAGTAAATGCTGTTCTTCACTACGCCCATGGTTTTTTTTATCATTTTGTTGTTGAAAATAGCTATTGGAGCGTTTTTTTGTGGCAAAAAAGTTATTTCTTGAAGAAAGATAAGGAAATACCTCGTACTTATTTTAAATAGGAATTTAGTACATAGTTTGCGATTGATTTGACCAAACTTTGTTGCTAAAATAGCTTGTAACGCTTTATTACATAAATTAACCATATTCCACAGCAGAAAGAGTTGAAATTATCGAAATATTTTCCGGAAATAATCAGTGCGCTAATAGAGCAGCAGAAATATTAAATGAGCGACATGAGAACAGTAACGTGCATCGAAAATATGTTCTAGAACTTGTAGCTAAATTTCGGGAAGCTGGGTCAGTGGCCAATAAAAAACGAAACATTGAAAATCCCATAAGGAACGAAGCAATAGAAGTGGGGGTTTTAGGGCACGTTTATGTAGACCCTACGTTAAGAACCCGCAAATTGGAGACTATGTGTGGTGTTAGTCGACGTACTATCCAACGGATTCTAAAGGCTATGGGCCGTTTTTTCCGATTCTAATCCCAGAATTTATCATGAGGTTCATACACAGCAGCCACAAAAATTAAATGTTTGGGCTGGTATTTTTGGCGATCATTTAGTTGGTCCTTTTTTCTTACGTGGAAATTTGACCGGTGAAATGTATTTGGAATTACTGGAAGACATAGATCCTGCTTCAACAGCCATAATTGAAAATCAGTATGATTGGCGGTACATTGCGAATAGGTTGATGTTCCAACAGGATGGTGCCCCACCACATTACGCATTACGTGTTCGACAGTATTTAGATCAGACGTTTCCAGATCGATGGATTGGTAGAAGAGGTGCCATTGAATGACCTCCAAGATCGCCAGATATGTCACCTTTGGATTTCTTTATGTGGGGTCGTTTAAAAAGCAAAATATATGCTACTCAGCCAACAACATTAGAAGACCTGCGACAAAGAATTGTGAACGAGTTCCTTCAAATTACTCCTCAAATATTGCAAAAAAAAATTGAGCAAAATCTTTATTATTGCATGGAGAGTCATGGTGGCCATTTTCAACATTTACTTGTCTAACGGGTCAGTTCATTCTTCATTTTTAAATTACTTTGCTGCCAAATGTATTGATCTCCACTAATGATGATGTATTAGTTTTATTTAAGCTTTAAATCAATAAATCTTCAAAACTACTGAACTGAAGTACATTAATTTATATCATTATAAACGGAATTGAAAGACCTTTAAAATAAGGTATCACTCGACCCCCCTTTCCATTTAAGATTTTGGGGGTGGTGTCACCCCCGCTTAGGGGGCTGCACGTGCTAACGTGATTTTTTGCCAAACTTGTGTCCCACTCGAAAACAAAATCGACGGGTCTGAGCGCTTTTCCAAAAAAAAACTGAGCTGCCAGTAAATGCGTCTATTTCGTTTCGATGCGCCACCCTGTATATCCCTTATAAGATATTTAGATACAATTTAAAAGACCAAAAGTATAAATGGCTGTATCGTTGTAACACAAATTGTTTCATTCTCTTTAAACTGAGGTTAGGTTAAATTTCACCTGCCAGAGATCTACCAAATCAATCAGCAGAAAGATGATTGCTTGAACATAAACGCTTATCTAAGATTGTATAAGACTGCCAAAAGAAGCTTTTGAGACACCAGCGAATATCGACAGCTCTTTACAAGTTTTAATGTTTTGACGTCAAGGGGCATCAAATATTGAGGTGGTACTATGTAAAAACCGGCACAAAATACCTACCCGATTTTCTACTATGTCATATTTTCAAATCAGATTATCATAATCCATATGTAGTAAAATTTTGCGCCAAAACTACAAAATAGTTATAGATTTTCAGCCAGAATGCCTATCACACGCACCGCGTCGCCGCGTCACGGTAATTAGCAATTTAGGAAATAAACATAAAATGTACAGGATGGTCAACTAGGAATGCGAGGTACTGATCTGGAAACATATCCATCGTAGAGGCTTGCGGCAAAAAAATTTCTTATTGAAACGGCCAAGTGTAAAATCTGGAAAATACTTTCAAGTTTCTGAAATGGCCGCTAGGGCGCGCAACTGCAATCTTGATTATAAAAATGTGATGTTTCTGTGAAGTCCGCTATATTAACCTAACAAAAAATACCTGATCTTTAAATTCGAGGATAATCTGAACCTCTTTTGTTTAACAATTTTTGCTGTACCTATCTCTAAAAATAAAATGATGGGGGGTATTCAAAGGTTTCCGTAAATACACCCTGCTGAGCTGAGCCGATTTTAACAAACTTGGGTTAGTTGAAAAGACCTAATCTTGGGCTACAAATATCATAATATTTGAAGTTTTGTTAGTTTCACATGTTGCACTCTATTCTACAATAACCTAATAAATATTTTCAACATGTGTATTCCGAAAACTAAGCGTACGTCTGGCAAATTTCCACCCTGGTACCTACACTCGCGCAATCATCAAGGATATTAAACAAAAGAATTCACTACGTAAATTATACAAAAAACGTCAAGAAGTGACTGTCTATGATACATTTAAAGAATTAAGATCCAAAATTAAAAGAGACGTTAGTACATAGAGCAGACTGAAAATTGCATAAAAAAAGATCCAAATCAGTTTTGGTCCTTCATCAAAAGTAAAAGGCACGGTGGCCTTTCACCTTCTGAATTCGCTCACAATGATTGTGTTTTCAATAACCCTGTTGATATAGCAAATGCCTTCGCTAATTTTTTCCAGTCTGTCTATTCTACGCCCAATGTAGCAGCTAGGCCAGATGATGATATTATTGCTACAAACAATATTGTGCTGAATAGTTCACAGAAAAGGAGGTTCTTATGGCATTAAAGAAAATGAAAAACAAGTTCACTACTGGACCTGATGGTATACCTGCATTCTTAATCCATGATTGTACACCTATTCTTGCTGCACCTTTAACTAAAATCTATAACCTAAGTATCAGATCACATACATTTCCTGAGATTTGGCGTGAAGCCAAGGTTCGACCTATCCATAAAAATGGAAACCGTAAATTAATTGAAAACCATAGGCCTATCACTATTGTGAGTAATTTTTCGAAAATGTTTGAAATGTTATTACATAATTTCATACAATACAACGTAAGTTCTTCAATTTCTACAGCACAACATGGATTTGTAAAAGGAAGGTCGACAACAACAAACTTAGTCTGTTTAACTCAATTCCTAGCAGGTGTTTTTAGATTCTAATGGTCAGATTGATGTGCTATATACTGATTTCAGTAAAGCGTTTGATAGAGTCGATCATGGTTTACTACTGGGAAAACTTAATAGCATTGGCTTATCCAAAAATTTGGTATTATTATTTCAGTAGTATTTGTCTGATCGCAAACTATATGTGGATTTTAACGGTGGTAAATCAATTCACTTTTTTCCATCTACTGGCGTCCCACAAGGATCTTCCTTAGGTCCACTACAATTCGTCATTTTATTAATGACTTAGTTAATACGATTGACTGCAATATTCTGCTCTACGCGGACGACGTAAAACTGTACTGGCAAATGATGATCCATCTAGTTGCTTTTATTTACAAAGGAATCTTGACAGACTGTCTGAGTGGTGTACTAGGAGAGTAAATTCAATTACCAATAGTTATAAAATTAACAACATTCTTCTTCAGACTTCAGAGGAGTTCAGGGACCTAGGAGTAATATTTGACAGGACATTGAGCTTCAGTGCACACCTAACTAATTTAATGAATTCTGCCAATAAAGCACTGGGATTCGTTATACGCAATTCAAGAGAGTTTATCGGTACCACAGCACCTACAGTGCTGTACAATTCGTTTGTTCTTTCTAAGCTGGAATACGGAAGAATAATCTGAAACCCATACTATGTTACCTCATGTGACTCATTGGAAAAAATTCAGAGGAAGTTCTTGAAGTATTTATCTCTCAAAACTGATGGTGTTTATCCTCCCATAGGGATTTCACAAAATAACTTACTTCAAAAGCATAGGTTTCTCAGCCTTGATGATAGAAAGAAGATACAATCTTTAGTCTTTTTGTTCAAAGTTATAAATTACCAACATGACTGTCTATCATTTTTTTCTATGCTAAATTTCAATACACCCAGAGTACGAACAAGGGTCAACCTTGCCTTTTACCTACCTACCTCACGAACGAATCTACTGCTGCACTCACCGCTATATTCGATATTCTCATGTTATAATGACTATATGAGTTATTTTGATATCTTCAACACATCCATTTTTATTATTAAGAGAGTATGTAAAGCGGTAGTTTTTTTAGAGCTACCACAGTTTGATTGAGCTATGATCAGTTGTAGCTTTTCATGGGTTCTTATTGGTAATTACAAAGCAATCAATGCTATTAGTTTATTTGTGATTTTATATATATATATATATATATGTGCGGTATTTCCCACCAGTAATTGGTTTATAAACTGTTGGTGGTGTAATTAAATAAATAATAAATAAATAAATAAATGTAGCCGCTAGAGAGCTTTTTGCGACATTCCGGCAGAAATGGTTAATTTTCTCCAAAAAATTAATGCATTGGTGTATTTTTTTTCTATGAAAAAGTAGCTAAATGATGTCTAAACAAGCTCGCGAAAACCGCATCTCGATATCTTGTTCCTAACCTAAAATATAGGCCAAAGAAAATTTTATACGGAAATCCATCAAATTTTTATTGTTTTTCAAGTAATTTTTCTGGAATTTCTTTTTATCATCAAGTTGAGGCTCTAAAAAGGGCCGATTTGAAAAAAAATCTTTTTAGTGTCCCCGTAAATGCTGACCATCATGGGCCTCTCAATGGTAGGCAAAACTGCAGCTTCAATTTCGGCTTTCGGTATGTTACGTATTGTATTGCGAATCCGGTTTTTCATATCTTATCTGGTTGTAGGTTGAGTCTGAAACACGATGTGCTTTAACCCTCCCCATGTATAAAAATCAAGACACAAGTTGAGTCTGGTGATCGCAAAGCTATGAAAACAGACTTCCTCTTCCAATCCACCGCATTAATATGCTCTCGCATAATAATAGCAAAATGTGCTGGGCAATCATCCAACTGCAAAAACAAGTTTTGCCGTGCTTCCAGTGGCACATCGTCCAATAACAACGGTTTGTTTTGTTGTATTCCATGTGGTGATTTTATTCCGATGAATAAAAAAGAATTCCAGAAACAATATTAAAAAAAATAAAAAATTAAGGGATTTCCATATAAAATTTTCTTCCTAAATTTCAGGTTAGGAACAAAATATCGAGATGCGGTTTTCGCGAGCTTGTTTAGACATCATTTAGCTTCTTTTTCATAATCGTACCGATGCATTTAATTTTTCTCAGAAAATTAACCACATTCACATCTGAAAATAAAGGCTCTAAATTCATTTTAACGGATATATTGGTCTAATCACCCAAAAACTTTAATATCACATATCTCAGGCACTAGTGAATTGATTTTGTTGAAATTCTCCATGATAGCAAATTTTCCAACGGATAACGTAATATTAGACTGACGGTTAAAACATTCGGGGCCTGAATATTGAAATGTTATTGGCCATGTACAAAAAAGCCTATGAATGGTGTTAATTAATAAGCAAAATAGATTTATTACACCTCTTTGATTTTTTAGTTATCCTTAATTTTCAATTTACCAGCAATTTGGCAGGTAGTCGTTCAAACTATACACGTATGTCATACTTACCGTAGATAAAACATCACTTAGTAAAGATGGGGTTTATTCTTTGTTCGACGCCTATTATAACCGGATACATACGAGGGCTGTTTGATAAGTCAGTGACTTTTTGAATAAAAAAAATGTTTTTCGGCAAATAAGCATTTTATTTCTCAACATAATCTCTTTTCAGCTCGATACATTTAGTCCAGCGTTTTCCAATTTCTTGATTCCTTCCGAATAGTAGTTTTTATCAAGGCTCCCAAAATATGTTTCAATGATGTCCTCTTCATTCGACCCAAATTTCTTACCACCCAGCCATTTTTACAGGTTTGGAAATAGGAAGTAGTCGCTGGGGGCTAAATCTAGAGAATGGGCTGGATGGGGCAGCAGTTCGTAGCCCAGTTCATGATTTTTGCCATCGAGACTACACATGTCTGTACCGTGTGTTGTCTTGATGGAACAGCAATTTTTTTTCGCCAAATACTGTCGTTTATGCTTCAAAGCAACGTTGAATCTATCTAACAGCTCTGAATAGTACTCTCCCGTGATGGTTCTGCCCTTCTCAAGGTAATCGATGTAAATTATAACGCGGGCGTCACAGAAAACTCTGGCCATAACCTTGCTGGCTGACAGACCCACCTTGGTCTACAGTTAGAAAACGGCGCAAAAATTCGTTCGGATTGCGGCTGAACATCGCCAAACATTCCTTGAAATGGTCGCACGGTTGCGCTTATGTCGACTGTGAGCAATCGCGGCACCCATCTCGCGGATAGTTTTTTCATGTCCAAGTATTCATGAAAAATGTGATGTACCCGCTCAGTAGAGATGCCTACAGCCTCAGCTACTTCACATATTCTTATTTTTCGATCTTCCAATATCATCCCATGGAGGTTATCCACGATTTCTGGTGTGATGACCTCTTTTGAGCGACCTGAACGTTCGGCATCACTTGTGCTGGTTCGACCACATCGGAACTCAGTAAACCACTTCTTCACCATTGAAATAGATGGTGCAGAGTCCCCATAGTATTTGTCAAGCCTTTCCTTGGTTTTTACGCAAAAAATAATGTTTAATTAGAACACGAAATTCACTTTTCTCCATTTTTGTTAGAATTTATGATACTGTCTACTTTCAACGGCTGTTAAACTCAAATGAAATGACATAGGTTGTTCAAATTTTGACGTTGTCATATAAAAGATGGCAGTTGATTGCAGCAGTGTTGCATTCAAAGTTACTGCGCGGAAAATTCAAAAAATCACTGACTTATCAAACGCCCTCACATTTCGGAGCGATCGTACATAAACCTCGAACTATCATATATTTTATTTCAGGTAGCATTTTTTTCCTTAAAGACCTTCATCCAGCGACAAAATATGAGATAAAGGTATCTCATCCAAACCCAGCAGATGCAGAAATGGTGTCCAATAGCATCTTTTATGAAACACTAGCTAATAAGAATGTGAAACACTTAGCGTCTATTTCTGTGTTGAGTTTCGCCTATTTAGTACATATAATATATCACTATGTCGTAACTGTTTTATTGTAATTTAATAGAACATTCTTTAGATAGTGATGTTGCTATATTAACTAGGTAATAATGTGCAATAATGTCCACTGCAATAATAGAATTTATATGTGTTGATTTTATATGCGTTTTAATTCTACCTCCATGAGTTCCGTGACCAAGTTTTATAGAACATACTTTATCAACATTTTTGTTTTTATTTCACTACCTGACTCGAGTGCGGATTTAGAAGGGGCAAGCAGCCCTAGACGCCCAAATGTGTCATTTTTTCCAAGAAAACGGTTATAGTGTTGTGTCTTAGTGTAAGATTACCTTGCTAGATTTGAATCGTCTTGAGGACCCCCCTTTGACGTTACCCACCCCTCTCTTTTCAATTATCCCTAGGGCATTTTCTCTCAGAAGCGATGCTTCAGTGCTTAAGCATAGGCATGCAGCCAAATTTTTAAGCGCGACGAACATCTTGTTGTGCTTACATGAATGCTGTGACTACCGTTGCGCCCCTACCATAGACAGATTCTTAAATCCGCCCTGACCTGACTGTTCTCTGAAAGAAACAATTTTGGCATTTTTACCCACTATTTTTATATGAGGGCATGGTTGCAACATTTCCCACTTCAAATCAATAAAAAAATACACTGAGACACAACATATTTACAATACAATAAAAAAATAAAAGTTGAAGTTGCTTTACCTTCGTTTTTATAGCGAGCACAGTGCCACAAAAATGTCATTTTACTTCCCGCACCTACTGGCGTGGAAGTGTTTTAATCGAATTTGGAAAATGAGATACTACGTTTTTCGGATGTTCTATGAAATGTGCATCACAGAATAACCATAGCGGCTTTTCAGAGGTTTTTGGTTTGAGAGTGATACGGTCCCGAACTATGCATGGGAATACAATGGTATCGGTGCTGAGCACTACTGAGTTACTCCGAATTTCTCAACAGGGTCACTGGAAAGGCTCAGGTCACAGATTTCCACCTGCCTCACTGTCGGTCTGTATGTCAATCTGCCTGTCTGTCGGTCTATCTAACTATAACTTGGAAATTGGAAATTAATGTTCGGATTTGCTTGACATTTTTGTACAAGGCTACTACTATGCCAAAGACGAAAAAGCTTTTTAATTTTTGAAAACCAGTCTAGTGGTGGCGGAGAAACATGCCAAGAACAAAAAAAAGTATGTCTATTTTTCGATGTTTCAGAAGATTCTGATCATTTTTCAAAATCCTTTATGTGATAACTGAGGTGGTGGGGGAGGGTATATTGCAATTTTTTGATGCTAGTATATTAATATACATAACTCTAGGCATCATCATATTAAGACATAGTTCAAACATTTGCCCTTAAGACGACACAGAAATGTTTTCGCCATGCGACCCTGCGTCTGCTATCTGGCCGGCGTACCGGTATTCATAAGTATCCTGACATGACTGGCTCTGTGTCTCACTGGCGCATCTGACCTGGGGACAAAAGTCCGGTTTTGTCCCCAAAATTGCTTCTCGTGAATTTTTTTTTTAATATGTTTCAGGTGTATTGATTTGGATGGTATCCGTCGTTATTAATAAGCTCAATGTGTCCGTCCGATTGGTTTTATATCTGTAACAAGTGCTCTCATCCCCGCGTTCGTTTTGAGACACCATTTGGCTGCAACCTCTACGACGACTCCTGATGAAGGCTCCATAGAATTGCCGAAAGCTAGAGATTACCGTCAAATGAGTTAACTAAAGCCTAAATAGGTTGCCAATTTCCCAATTAACAATTAATTGTAATTTTGCCCAACTAGTCGTTGGCAATGGTAATGACTATATATATCTGGATTCAATACTGCTCACTAATTTGCGACAAACATAACATTGAAGAATGTTCTCTAAAAATACACATTGTATGTGGACAAAGTATTTGACATACAATATAAAGAATATCAGAAAAATATTGAAAATGTCACTAAATCACAGTATTTACGCTAATAAACTAACTTTCCAAAATCTCGATGAAATAACAGACTATTTTTCCCAAAAAATGGATGAACACATGAATACATTCCACCTACAAGCTGAGGAAATGAACAAATGGTTATTGAGTACGTCCGCGGTAACGTCGAAGGTAAAATATTGTTGAATTCCAAGCCGATCTATAAAGATTTAAACGACTTTCTATAGCTTGGAGAAATGAGTAAACAGATGGATTTTCTCAATTTTTTGCAAATAATATCAGCAAAAGTTTGAATTACATCGATAAGGAGCAAGGAAATCTAGAAGAGGCCATTAAAACAATCGAATGCGACGTATGCTGTGTACCTGGTGGAAAAGAAGGTCCTGTTGATGAATATCGACAAATCACGTAATACATATGTTTATCTAAAGTTGATTGATGTAAGCTTGTAAATATTTAAAGTAGTGCAAAATATGCCATTTTCGACACCGGAGAACAATATGAAAAAACGAAGATTTTAATGCTGCCAAAGTTCCTAAATATTCTTCAAATATCTGTTAACAAAATCCAAAAGCATTTCAGGTATTGTCACTGAAAACCTTTGTTTCTTGTTAAAAAACGTGCACTCAGTGCATACTCTGCATGAGTGCAAGAGACATGCGGTAGGGGCGGCCGGCATCCCCTGCTACTTCTCTCTCTCTCTCTTTGGAAACATTGGAGATAATGAAATTTTTTTCGGGGTCGAAAATGACTAATATTTCACATTTTTTTATTAACTGTAGAGGAAAGTTCTAGGGTACCTTTTTTTGTTCAGAATGTCTTAAAAAAGCCTGGAAACACTTTGAAGAGAGCAAAAAAAAATTAGAATCTGCTTAAAAAAGTGGTTTAAACAATTTCTCTGCCAACGAAAAATATTTTTCGTTATATGTATCACTGTTAAAAATAATACACATATATTGATTAACGTATTCTATCTGAATATAGCAAACCAAAAACTGTAGTCCGACATCCAAAAATGATCTAAGAGATACTAGAGTCATCTATGAGTCGGTAACAGAACACAAAAGGTCTTAACTACCAAACAACCACAATATTTGCATAATAAGTTAACACGATGTAGTGACATACTCGTAAATCAACTGAATACAAAGAATAGAAATATGTTAGTGATACCCTTACATTCTAAGGCTGTCTACAAAAAATCATTCAGCTACAACGCTATTAAATTATATAATGATTTGCCTGTTACATTCCAAAACTATACATTATTTAATTTTAAAAAGAGGCTTAAACTATAACTACAAGTCGAGGTCTGATGATGAATACAAAATGCTAAAAATATGGAGTATTCTTGTAATTGTTCTGTTTTTTTGTGTTGTTAATTATTTAGTAATTATTGAGAATTATGGATTCCTTTTTGTTGGAATGTTTTATTATATATTTTTTTTTTGTTCTTCAAAGGTTAAGTTGAAAAACGGTAATCTTAGCGACACTTCGCCTTTTTTGTACTTTTACTTAGTTACGAAATAAAGCCCTTTATTATTATTATATTATTTTAGAAATCTACTTTGAAAAGAGTTAGTGTGGCTATGCATTCTGCAACTATCTCATAGATGACGTCAGGAACTTCAATCATCATTAGTCCATTGGCAAAAGTTTTAAGTTTATTAGTTCCTACTTGTTAAATATGTTACAAGTGTAAATAGTAATTTTGTTCTACACATGGCTTACAGCTAGACAACGTATGAACACTTATTGTACGGTAGAATAGCATATTATTCACTGCCGCCATAATAATCTAAGAAGAAAAAAGAAGGTATGTATAGATTGAAGATCTTAGCGCCATCTATGAGACAGTATCAGAACCTGATACTCGAACTCCTTTCAAACTGGATTTATAATTTTCTACTGCCGCTGTGTCATAGATGGCAGTAGTATCTTTCAGATTACTTTTTAAAAGGCATAATACAGTATATGGCTGGCTATCAGGTGAAATACGTTAGCCAATACAAAATTGTCTAGGCTCTTCATACACAATGTTTAAGTAATAGATACTCTACGACTTTAATGACCTGGAAATGTTTATATTGCAATGTGTCTTTTCAACAAAAAATATTTTTGCAATAGAGTTATCAAGGAGCCATCAAGTATTCGTAAGAAAGACAATCAATTTTGCGAAAATTTAGATGAAAGACTAAGGACAATCATGGGCATTTCCGCAATATCCATTTCTCACACTGATCTCATTATTATTTTTGGCACAACAATGTTGGCAACATTTCAATTAAGGCCTAGTTTGTGAACCTACAGTGCATAAACCAGGGACTAACGGCTGGTTCAACAAATCGTGCGACACTGCTCGTTAGCAGAAGATCAAGGCGCACATAATCTTCTTACGATACCTCACTGTAGAGAACAAACAAGCCGACGTCAAGTCCAGAAACAAATATAACGAAGCGGTCCGTGATGCCAAAGACCAGCACGATATAAAAATTAGGCACGGGGTAATGTCGCAGCGCAATGGCAGTGGGTCTTCCAGGACGCTGGTCAAGCAAATTGAAAAGAATCTTTTCACAGAGTCGCCTTCCACCACTTACGTGCCACGATGGAACGATTCTATCCTACTCAAAAGCCCTGTTCGTACAGCTATCGCCAAGCTGTCAGTCATCGTGTCCAAGATTCCGCAACACAAATGCCGTTCATTGTGCTACGCTAAATAGACAGAATTCACACGGCCGGATCCAAGACATAAATCAAATTCAAGCGGATAACCAAATGGAAATGGTATTTACCATTTTGGGTTGGTATTTACCGATCCGTTCAAGCGAGTGTAGTTATCAGTTTGGTTATAAGATCCGTGACATCACGAATCAGCTGTTATATGTCATAGTTATCACCGCAAAATTGTGGTATTTACCCAACTCAAGAGTAGTTTTATATTTTGGTTATTATTTGAAATGTGACAAGTTAGAATTTTGCCGGGTATTGGATATTGTTATTGTACTTCAGCTTCATTTTTGAGAAAATTGATACAGGCTGACTTCAGTTTTACCATAAAGTGGAGCACCTTATTAGTTATACTAATTACGGTTGTTGGGGACACTTTAAATGCTTAACAAAGTATCCTGTGTAGCCATATACTACAAGAATATTAAAATATGTCCATA